TGTGTGTGTGTGTGTGTGTGTTTGAAAGCCTCATGTTTAAGTGAAAATTCTAGTCCAGGGAAACGATGCTGAGGCAGAAATTGCCAGAATCTTCTCATGATCGTGTATGATTGAGTTATTGATGATCAGCTGCATGTTTTCTGCAAGTATTATGCATAAACTTCAGGTCTGTGTCTCTTATCTCTGCTCTCCCTCTTTTACATGATTAAAACGTTGCACTTTGTAGAAAAATAGAGAAAATGCTCCAGTCAGTGTTGTGAGGGAAAAGTGTGTTTTGTTTTAAAAACCGCATGCATGTGTGCTTTTACATTTGGACTGATTTTTTTTCTCTTATTATGCTAAACCTGAACTTAACACTAGTATAATAGTGTTAAATAGGTACACTGGAGTAACTGCATGCTCTCAGTGTTCACCTTGTGACCATTAACCACCAAATGCACAATGAAGACTAAGGGAAGGGAATGCAGCGCACTCTGTTTTAATAGCAAGCATACATACAGCATGACATCATTTCCATTTCTGTTAGGCAAACGCGTATCCACATATGCATTGAATAAGTCATGTGTTCCTAATGCTTGATGAGGTTTTCAGCTGTCTGACTAGAATAGGAAAACACATGCAATGAAAGCGGCACACATCTGCAGCTTATCTCGAGGAAAAATATCTGCCAGATGTAGGCTGCATTATCTCCACATAGATGTCAGTGTGACATCTCTGATAGTGTTTTTATTTTGTTTCCAAACCTTTAGTTAAAGCCATCTCCACCTTGACTTGAAGTACAACATCACCAATAAACTCCAGGTCAAACAACTTTTATTTGCCACTGATACATACATGGCACTCCTCACTGGGCACAAGCAGCGTTTGCCGTGGTTAGGTTAAGGCAGAGGGCAGGCACTGTCGGCAGCGTGGGGAAGGCTGTGGGAGGCAGGCGAGGGTCCTGCTCAGCTGGCTCCAGCTGTAGCAGGAGGGGCAGGAGGTGCTGGGGCAGGGTCGGGATCAGGAGCCGGGGCAGGGTCGGGAACGATGAAACAGCCCCTCTTGTGCCACTGCATGTCTCGCACACGTCGGACAGACTGGATCTGGGGAGCGGGGGCCTCCCAGTCATTCCAATGCTTGAAATCTCCTCGCTCAAAGACAAACTGCCGACCCCTGTAGCCTGGGTACATGTAGCCAACCCATCTGGAGGAAGGAGAAACAGACAAAATGTGAGGTGTGTCGCAGAAAAACACCCAGAAGGCAGTGCGATGTGGTTTAGATAAGGGTGCGCTGAGGATCTTACGTTCCATTGAGAGCTTTGATGCTTGCTACACGGTCCTGAAAACCATGGCCCCACAAACTGGGCACATCATCGTCAACGATCTCCATCTTTCTGCCAGTAAAACTTGGATTCTCATACAGGTGCAGCTTGTGTTCAGCACCATCCTGAACACAAAAATGACACAAATGTCACCAGGGTGTAGTCTGAATGTGTGCGTGTGTTTGTAGACACTGATTCAGTAAGGCAATCATTTAAAATGTGTCAGGAGGTAAAAATACAACGGGCAAAGGTTACGTGTAAACAGCTCGTGTCAAATATTCTTCACATATCTGTGTGACTGCATCATGAGCTTTGTATGTGAACTAGTCACGCACCACTTTGAGTGGCCTTAGAGACAAGAGGGAGTAGCTGTTCTGACTGTTGGTCCAGGTGTCCCAGCGTGGATACTCTCCTTTCTCCAGAATAAACTGCTCCCCTGTGAACCCATGCCGATCATAACCCACCCAGCTGAGGGGAAAAGAGAAGATCCGAGTTTACCAGCATGACAAGCTTGCCTAACAAGTTATCTTCTACATTTTCTTATATGAATAATCTCACATGCGGCATTACTTACGGTCCTGACTCAACAATCACAGAGCTGACCTTCTGCAGTCCCTTCTCTGTCACATCTTTACACTCTGCAGAAAACTCTGCCTTGCAGCCCTGGAAATTTTCAAACTCAAACAGCACCACCTGGAAACACAGAAACAAAAGGCATTCCATAAACTAACACAGACTCCTTTCAGTTTCCCCTGGGAGCTTAAGATAACAGCCTCCATATAGAAAATAGACATGACATAGGCTGAGCTTAAAAATAACTCAAACTGTCAGGTTCAGCAGATGATGCAGGTACATCTGTGACCAATAGCTGGGCAGCGAAATACACCTGTATAAAGGTGAACCCTGGGAGCAGTTCTTCTATGAGCAAACCAAGTTGTTCCAGTACCTTGTATGTGGCTCCAGCTCCACCCTGGCTCTTCCCAGCAGCTAGCTGCTCCGGGGCACTTTGCTGCTCCGACATCCTCCTGATCCACTGCTCCTCCACTTTTTGGCAGCAGCACACACATAGAAAAAGCACCGTCCGTCACACATTCATATACATGGACACACGCGCGCGCGCGCACACACACACACACACACACGAGAGAAGCTTAATGTCTAAGCTACAATTGTAGAATACATCCTTGAGCAGGAGGACTTTTTTTAAGCCTCAGCAGTAATAATTTACCTGATAAGAGTTTGTTTTTCGAGTATGAACACACATTTTCTTCATCATGTGCAATACTTAATAACAAACTCCACCAAACCTGAGTCTTCCCCGGTGCAGCACCACTGAACTCCTTTGCAATGGCATTATTACACCATGGTGATTGATAAGTATGTGTCCAGTAGGAGGCTTTTACCTGGGTATGCCTGCTAGGAAGCTGTAGTGTCCCTCTTTTTTCGCTGCCACTTGGTGTTTGGTGGGGTTGAGCCATTAGACCGCAGGGATGGTGGGGGGGGGTATTTATGGTTTATTTCTGGCCACAACAGCAGAAAAGGGGGAGCTGTTGATACAGCAAGTCTGTCGCTCACATTGTGTCCGTAACGCTGCCTCTCAATAGGCAGCTGTGTTGGCACACGCTGCCCTGCCTATCTGCCTGGCTGCCAGCAGGCGTTGTGTGTGGGCACACAGAGAGAGAGCCAAGAGGATTCAGCAAACGGCCCTACTCAGCATAAACACACACACACACTCATTTACCCAATCCCAACTACACAAGAGTTCCTCGTGCCTTTGTGTACTAAAAATAAGTAACTTGATTCAAGAAATACCCAGAAGAATGCAGTTTTTCATGTTACATGAGGCTGTGACACAAGTCAAGTATATTTTATTAAGAATTTATTCACTTTAGGACACTGGCCAGTACAACACAGTGCAATATAGACCTTTCCTTTTGAATTAAAAAAAAAAAAAAAAAAAAAGGGCATAAAAATTAACCCTTGAATTTTATGACAAAGTAAAACATCCATGTACATACACACCAGGGACAATCACTCTGAAGCCTCGATCAACACATTCACTTGCATTGCACGAGCAGGCCGACGATACAGAAGATGAGACCAGAGGGGAAGGGGTGGTGGTGGGTGGGTGTCTGTGCTGTAGTGCGTCAAGTGACAAAGTGCTTTACTGAAGCGTGGAGAAAGTAGGGAGATGGCAAATGTGGAGAGGAAGACGGAGATGAGGCGTAGCTGAAGTTCAAATGTTCACATTAGTTTGGTGCATTACAGGATTCGTTTACATTGTAGTGAATGAACCGTCCCCTTCCCTGGAGTAGTGTAAGTCAACATCTAGGTCCTCTGAACCAGTCAGCGAGAGCCAAGCCTGATGTGACAGCAAAGATTGTACATGCATGGATAATGAGTGACAAAAACGAAAGGGAAATTGCACATACTGGGAAATAAAAACAGTATTGTCAGGACATGATCGAGAAGTAGGTGAGTATGGCTTAAATTAGATGCTCGCAGCTACAATCTACTAAAGAAGGGGAAGATGGGCTGATTAGTGTTTTTATAAAAGACTGAGGAGTGTGTTTGTGCTGATTAGGAGTGTGCATGATTGACAGATACAAAGCTGCTTGTCCCATCCCTCTTACACATTGACAAAAAGATAAATCACAAAAAAATATATACACAGTACGCAGCAACTGCACCCCTGTTAGGCTGTGTAACTGTATCAAAGTGAACAGCTCTGCTGTAGTGATGCATCCTTTCCAAAACGAGTTCTCCACCTTTGTTAAATCATTGAGGATACAAATATAACATCTCCTGATTACAGATACTAACGTGAGCAGCACCCCCGTGGACGATCAAGACCGTGGAGGTTTGTTCTCAATACGCAGAAATCATTAGTGTCTGAAATGTCATCCTATGGCAAAGTTTGTGTGACTCCAATCAGCAACCTCTGCAGATAACACATACATGGCTAGCCTGTACATTAGCTCAGTAAAGAGGAAACTGGATGCAAAGGATTGGCTGGATTGTCCTCCAGCATGCGATGAAGCTCGTCCAGGAAAAGGAGGTGCTGTGTCTTCCCGACTCCTCCTGGTCCCTCTTTAAAGTGTTCGTGTGAAGTTCGTTTTGGAGCCCCTGTGTTCAAGCATGAAATGGAGTAAGCAGACCAGCCTGATGTTTTTCCTCCATGCTCGTTTTTCTTTTTCCATAGGACAGAGACTTCCCCCCCAAAAAGGCACCATGCACATTTACCGACCCAGATGAGAAGAGAGAGAGAGGAAAAAAGTGGGGGGTTTAAAAAAAACCAAAAAAAAAAAAATCATCAGCAGCTGTAGATTCAACCTCCTCCTACTCTCTGGGTCAAACGTTAAGGCTTCTGTTTCACACAGATTCATCTGTTAAGGCAACCTTCAGGAGACAGACAGAGATAAGTATGAGAACCGCTGCTGTTTATTTGTTACAAAACAAGAAGACACACAGAAGAGCCAAAAACCTAGCTCACCTTATTATTTACTTAGCTCTCACTTTCATACTGACTCAGGCGTTTCTTGGATTTCAGTTCTTTCAACCACTGGGGTGAATCCTCCTGGCTACAAAATAAGAAAAACGATGAGTCGACAAATTCTCTCAAGTATAAAATAAACGTTTTGTGTTCAGCTGATGTTGCTTACCCATTTTCTTTCCCGCCAGAGGGGGGCAGCACACGCGCTGCCCTGGGGAGAAAAGGGGACTTGGGTGAGCGAGACAGCTGGGAGGGAGAGGGAGCAGGTCCATCAGTTTGATTGTCAGAGTCCCCCCTCTTCTTCAGCTGTGCCTGACAGAAAAAGCGATGCATTACAAAGAGTTTGCTAAAAAGTCAGTGCGAGTTTAAAATAAGAGAAGGCTCTGTGAAATAAAACTGCAACATGACAAACAATGCCAGGAGGTGAACGCACAGTTCCTGGCTCACCTTTAAAGCTGAAGGGTCCATGCCAGGGAACAGGGCGACCCTCTGTGGCTGCGACGCAACAGCCGGTGCAGCATCAGCTCCTCTGGGCTTCTCCTCAGAGTCTGAGTCATCGTCTTTACTCTCAGCCTTTGCCTCTGTCGAACGGTGAGCACATATTAACAGGTACTTTCCACCAAATGTCCTGTAATCTCCCCCTAGAGCTTATGTGCAGCAAGTGTAGAAGCTCCTCCAGGGATTTTTAAATTTGCATTTCCACAACAGGGCTTCAGCTTTGGGAGGTTTAAGCAAATTAATTCGGAAAAAACAAGTAAAGATCTCAAATTCCCTTGGTTATTGTTCGCAACAAAAATGAACCAACCCTGGTCGTCATGTTAATTTATTAGCCCGAGTATTTCCACCACAAAATACAAGGAAACCAACTTGCACCGAAATGCTGGTAGAAATATTAAATGGTTCCTGTTTCAAACTGAAACTTCCTGAAACTTCAACTACCCAGTGAGGACTTATGAATCAGATTCCTGGAATAAATGAAATTGATGTTCCTGGAACTGAATTCAGTCCACGGTCTATCGGGAAAAATTGCATTTAGGGGAACATCATAAGCCTTCTATTCCCTGGGAAAAGTTGTTGTGGTTGGAAAAGTTCTTTGTGTGATTTGGGAGCCAGTTAAGAGAGTGCAGGGAGGGAGGTGAACTTTTGAGAGACTCTAGATTAAAGGCATGTATGGACAACAGAACTGCACTTTGGAGTCTGCATATCTAGAACCTTATTCATGTTTTAGCCTCTCTAAAAAGTAAATACAAAGGCTTATGGAGCAGTAATGAGTAGTAACCTGTGGAGTCTCTGTAGAGCCAGTCCTCAGTGGTTCCTCCCTCACCCTCTGCTTGTGCAGCACTCTGACGTGTAGCCCTGGTGGGTCGTGTCCGCGGCGCTCGTTTCTTCCCCAGCTGGGCTCTAGAGCGGAGCACGCTGGTATCTAACAGGGTGGTCGGAGCCTGGATATCAAAACACAAAAAGAAAACACGAGACAAAATGTATAAACACAGCATAATAAAGAAGACGTGTGTCACCATAGTGAAGACAGAGGAGACTTTACTGACTTAAACCGGCTCATTTGGTAACGTTCAAAAGGATTGAGCCGTGTTTAGCACTTACGTCAGGGAAAGAGAGCGGCTGGCTCTCAGGTGGGGATGAGGGAGGGAGGCCATCCAGACTGCTGCTTTCAAACGGTGAAGCAACATCACCTGGTGTGTGTGCTGGAGTTGGCTTTTTCGGTGAAGGACTGAGATTACTTTCTGAGCTGGGAGTCGCAGGTGTCAGACTGTCGATGATTAGCATAAACAAGATCTTTGAAACATGTCTGAAAACAGCTGCGTGGATTAAGTAACCACAGGATCTCATCATTTCATCAAAACCATGACAACAGTGAAAACAGTGAACCCTAGTAAAGTGAACTGTGTAGAGTGTGTGTTCAGACTTTTAAGAACTCATCAGTGCTCAGTATTTTTGTGATGTTATGTTCTGACCACATGAGGTCAGTAATGGATCGCAAAGTAATGCAATGAAGCGAGAAGAACAATCTGTTGTTCCACCTGAAGTTATTTCAGCTCCGCTGTGGGTTTCTATTAAACCTTTACACACATTTCACTCCTGCATGCTGTTGCTACATAGGCAATATTTATTGGATTACATCATGTTTGGATTTCGTCTTTTTTAAGGTAAACGATCTTTTGTGTTGTTGAATGGGCCGCTGATTTTCTGGTCTTCTTCAAACATTATCACCATAGTATTTAATCATTTTGGATCAACTTGTTTGATTTTATTTAAGATCTTTACTAAACTTTTTATTGTGCTATTATGCTAACTAAAGTTCTTCTTTCATCAGGCTTTAATCATTTATAAACAAAAACGACACTGATTTGTCAGAGTCGAACATTTTATAGATTGTGACTTATTAAACATCTCAGCTCAGGTGGTGCAATGTCAGCAAACATATGAAGAGATTAATGCGTCAGGGTTTTAAAAAAAATCACTCTGCCTTTCATTCTAATCCGCTGGTCTCGCAATGGCAGCCGTTTGTCTTTGGGTGGTGTGTGGCCTTCAGTCTCAAAAGGCCACGCCTTTTCAGGTGTGGATAAAGCTTGTGCCTGTGGAGACTTGACTGGTCATCACTCTATTGCTGCTTGAACTCTTGACTCCTGGTTTTTAATGTAGGATTATTAATAATTAAAAATAAAACTCCCCTTTGTCTGATGCTGATCTTAAAGCACATGTCTGTTTATAAAAATCATCTTTCCCATTTCACTGCTTCCAAAGTGTTTTGAATTAACATTTTACAGTGCAGTCTCACACAGTCGTACAAGTATTGGCCATATCTTTGTTTGTTTGTTTTAAATCAGAGATGTCATGTACACATTTACTCCTTCTGATACCTTAATATGAGAAGGAGAAGAGCAATTTCAGCAGGACATCTCAGTATTTTGTACATGATAAAGTAATGCTGATGTAGGAAACAAAAGAAATTTATCTGAATGACTTCAATTGTAAGAAATACATGTTCTGGTAGCTGTAGCTCATCACAGAAAATGTCATTTCTAAAAAATGTGTGT